AAAGCGTTTTTTATATAATTGTCAAATTTTAAGTTACTACTTACTATCAACGTATTACAGATAATTTTGAACACAACTTTACAATCATCAAATCTATTAACAAAATTCAAAAGATTTTCAATTTTACTAAAATAAGCGATCGAAAAAAGATTTGTGTTGTATTTATTTTTTGGCAATGATATTTGTAAAGATAAAAACTATTAAATTATTTAACACTAGAAAAACTGAAACTTAGTACAAAATGACTGGATTGTAAAAGAATAAATAATGTGTAAAGAAATTTGTTTCAAACTAGTTTTTAATATTTTTTATATTATTTACAGTTATATAACAAGTTATTAGTAAATATTACGAAAACAAATTATAAGTTGTACAAAAAGTCACAAAATTCTAAGAAATTGTGTCATTATATACATCATTGTTTTTCTAATCGAAATTAAAAAGCAGTCAAAATGACTTCCTTGGGTAATTTCGTGTTAAGATTTTTTAGAATATACCGGACTCCTTACAAAAGTTCCTTTATGGTGAAAAATTTGAAGAAACAAAATCTCTTTAGTAAAAAAAATACACTTATGATATGAATCTGTTATAGTACTGAGGAAACTGGATCATTCTGTCTTTCTGAATATGCGAAAATAATTTTCTATTTTCATCAAAAAGTACAAAAACCATATTTATCTAGAATTTTTAATTTTAAAAATACAAACTAAAGAAATCATTGACTCCATTTAGTAAAAGAAAAGTTTTAAGGTTCATATTTATGATAACATTTAATATGAAGGTCTCACTTTTACAATAAAGTGTTTGTTTTAACGGTAAAATGTTTTGTGAAGGTTTCGTATTTGTATAATAAAATCTTTCGCATTTGGTCATTATTTACGATAAAATAAAATATTTTATGAAGGCTTCCTTTTTACGATAAAAAAAAATTTTGAAAGTTTAACTTTAAGAGACACAAATTTCTCCTAAAATAATCCCAGTCATATTAAATAAAATTATTTGCCTCATGTTGTGTTACATACGGTGTTTAAAAGAGAACTAAAATATATTTCCAATTTTAGTGCAAAAGCTTTTAAGAAGGGGGAGAGTAATGACGAGAATTATTTTGAAATAAGAGCTTGGTCTGAAGTTCTTAAAGAACAAATTGCATTTGAAAGTGAAACGGAAGAGTCTAAGACTCGTAATGATAAGTCTGAGGTTGAAGGTGATAAAGGAAATAAGGAGTCAAAGATGACTCGTGATGATGCTACTCCTAATGAGTTTCATATGGCAAATGATGTGAAGTTTATATTAAGAGATTGGAATAAAGTTCTAGCAGAACAAATGATGGCGGAAATAGAATACAAAGAGTCTAAAAATGCTCCCAACGATGAAACTCTTGATAATGCTCTTGTTGTAGAAAATAAGGAGAGCAAAGATGCTCGTGAGATTGGGACAGTTGATGAACTGGATAAAATGGATACACTGGAGCAGTTGTTCGACTGGTTGATGAGCTGGTGAGAAATTTAAAACGTCTGGCTTGTAATGATAGTACTGGTAACACAAGCTTGAGACAATAATTGAAGACTCTATGATGGTTCAAAATTCTATAATATTTGATATAAATGATAATGATAAAGAAAATAAGCTACGATGATTGAAATAACGTTTTAAATTGTTTTTGGTGTATTTTCTGTTGCAATAACTTATAAATATGTTTCAATAAACGATTTATTACGTAATAATTCTCATGTTTTTTTTTTAATTCTTTCCAGTTTTTTTTTTAATTCTTCTTTTCCAGCAAATTTCTTACGCGTCTAGTTTTGGTAAAGTCAGTTCATAACCTGAAATTTGTACAAAATTTCAGTTTCTTGCGATTTTAAGGTCATTACTCTTTCAATATTCATTTACTCAGGCACGTGCCGTACACTTTAGGGCCATATTATAAATAAAGTTGAATAAGTAACCATAGGACTGTGAATTGATTTTGTTTCTTCTACACTCAATGCTTCTTTTCCATCAAATTTCTTACTTGTCTAGTTTCGGCGAAAGCAGTTCATGACCTTGAAATTTGTGCAAAATTTCAGTTTCTTGCTACTTTAAGGTCAAAAAGGTTAAACCAAATACACACCACGCATATGTTTAATATTAGGTACTACTCATTGATATGTAGTCACAAAAATATATGACGGTCAAATTCTTAGAAAATGGTCAAATTTTAAATATTTTTGAATGACCTTTGACCTTAGATATAAAGGTTCACTGAAAGTATTTATATCGTTATAGTTAGAGTAAAAGTAGTAAAACATAAAATAATGATGCGTGCTGGGATTCACTCGTTTTACAAAAAAAATATTGCAACTTGTAAATGGATGAGTTTTTCTCAAAATTGCAGAGAATTTTCGGTTTTGCACAGATCCAGAAACACGGTTAATTTTAGCTCATTTTCTTAGTTTTTATCATATTTTCTTTATCAGTGTGACCCCAAGAAACTCAAAAAGAAATTTTAAACAAAAAGAAAAAACACGTGCTTAACAGTTTTAACACATCCCGAAAATTTCAGAAGTCAAAAATGTCAAGCATCCTAACCTACTTTATTAGTAAGACTATAAGAAAAAAACTGACTCTTAAGGTACGAATTGCTACACATTTTTAAAAGATTATATCATCGGAAAAAATGTGTGTTCACAAAAAAATGTGAAATGAAAGTTTTTAAGCATTTATGGATTATTCAAATAATTTCTGCTCTTTTATATAGGAAGTGCTTTGTAAAACTAAATAATTATTCTTTTAAAAAAATTTTAATTATTTAAATAAACATATAAATTCTAAATATGTAATATTATTTGGGAGAAAAATTTTAAAAATTTTTAAGCTTATTTTCGTATATATATTCTAAATTTAATAAAATTATAAATACTCGAAAAAAATTTTGAAACTTTTTTTGAACTTCAAAACCGCATTTTACATTTTAAAGAAAGAATATTTTAAAAAAATGAGAAAGTAAAAAGTGCATTAAGTAGGAAAATTTATTAAATTGTCAAAAGAAAACTAAATAGCAATAAATTTTAATATGGTAGCTTAAAAACTAACAGTATAAGCAGTCTTTTAATAAAAAAAACATTATTTTAAAATTGAACATAGTGTAAAGATTTTTAACTGCTTAAGGACTTTTTAATGGTACCCAATCCACGAATAAATCATATCTTATCACGTTTTAGTTTATAAAGCTAATTACATTTCCCAAACATTTATGTAATATGCATATTAACTTTATTCGTCATAAGCGTTGTTTAACAAGTAGTAAGATAACGCAAGATTAATACTGGTAGTCTTTCTGATTTAGTTTTAGCCTCATGACAAAGATAACAACAGAAATAAAGCTTTAAATGAGTTCAAAAGTTCCATGAATTTGATGCTTTCATGTGAGATATGCTTCATTCATGTGGCTGTATATGATGTTTTATAGATACGCTATATCATTATAAGGAGTTACTACTTAAAGATCTACTATTGATAAAAGTATGTTGGCAAATATTCTGAAAGCAATTATTTTATAATATTTCGAATCGCTTTTTAATTTATTCAATTTTTATCTATAAAATTCTTTAGTTTAAAATGCTTGTTCAAGTCATGAACTCATTAGTCAAAAGAATTGTTTAAACTAAAAACGAAGAAAATAATGTAAGTTAGGTTATAGTTATTGGTAAAATAAATTTTAAGAACGAAAAAACCGTTATAAGCTAGTCTAGTTAAGCGATTTTCTGTTATCCAAAGTTAAAACAGAGGGTTTGTAGTTAAACTGCTTTACTATAAATAAAATAAACAACACGTGGTATCAGATATATTTAGTTATATAAATTTCGTGGCGTAGATTATAAATGCTACCACGTTAATGTAAAGGAACAACCACTGATGAACAACGATTGTGCATTAACATTACTGTTAATGAACAATATTTACGGGAATCATTAATAATGGTTCATGTTAATATTGTTCATAGAATTAATCTGATAGTGTTAGAAAAAATAAATAAATATTAAAATACGCGTAATAAGCATATTTTTTAATCTAATTGAGTTAAAGCTAGCAAATATCCCCGGTATTATCTTTAAAATGCTTCAAAAATTGAATTGTCCATAGGTATTTGCACTTGAAGAAGAAAATTACGGACACCCACACATGTGACCTACGACGTCAGCGCCAGCTGATTTATAAGCAAAAAGGTGTGTTAAAGTTGAGCTAAGTTTTTCCACATAAGTTAGAATGTTACTAAGTTTACAGCTGAATTTTAACTGGTAGTAGAATAAGAGAAGATATTTACTTGTTTTAGATATGATATGGGAAGAAAGTTTAATTCATTCATATTGATTATTTTTAACCCTATGGTGATTGTATATTGAGACAGTGATTTGGGTATGAAGACTTCAAATCTGAAATTGTGTTTTATTCCTAAAGTTACAGTTTCTTATATACTTTTAGACTATTATTAGCTGAAATGTACAAGTTTAAAAGCGTTATATGTAACAGTGGAATCATAAATGTAGCAACAAAATACCAGGGAAGTTAAGGTAAATCATTAGGTTTAAAACTGAAGAGACCCATACCTGTCGTCATACCCCCTAGACCCCCTATAGGGCCTACGCTATTCTATTCTGACCTGTTCAGAAGCACGCTAAGAGGTAGTTCATAATAGAGAAACGCCTTTAATGGCGTATGATGCCATTTCCAGGCATGGGTTCCTATGCAATTTTAAACCTAATAATTTGCCTTAACTCCCCTATAAATTTGTCGCAACACTCATGCTATCATTTGTCGTATATAACGTTTTTAAACTCGTGCCTTGCGACAAAAAAACATGCCCTTTAAAAAAAAACTGTAAATTGGAGAGAAAGAGAACAATATCAGATTTGAAATCGGAGACTTGAAACTATCCAAGATCCGTTAAATAAATCTCCTGCAACGGAGAATAAAATGTTCTAGAGTGTAATCTTTAAATATTGAGTGAAGAAAATATTTACCAATCACTTTCAGAACAACTGTGTACATGTATGTTCTATCCCATCTATAATCTACGCGACAGTAGTAGACACCAGCGTCACCTTCTTTCACAGAGACCAATTTCAACACCGGAGGCCATGGACTTGGATCAAAGGTTGCCCTGGATCTCAACTTATCTGAGGGAACGTGCAAGGAATTGGAGCCGCCCTCTCGTGCATCCACTGTGTAGACGGACATCACCTCGTCATCCTTGTACCAGAATATACACTTGATGCCACTTTCTGGAGGACGTTGTGGTACTTGGCATGGTAAATTGGCAGTGGATCCCTGGAGAGCTTCAAACTCTGGTAATGGTTCTGGGAAGAAAAAAAATAATACTTAATAACATTACTTTCATTCATCAGTGTCATGTATTTGCTGTTCACTATATACAAAAATTATCATTATTGCTGAGTGTTCGACATAGTAAAAAACTCTGGAACAAATTGCGATAAAAAGTACCGGCACTTAGGGTTCATCATCCGTGAAATCAATATTAAGTTAAGCTCCATTTTTACCGCAAAATATTATGCCAAAATTTTTACAGTTATGTCTATTTCAGTGGTTTCACTGTAAAAATTATGATACATCAGTTTTATTGTTCGTTCGGGGTAAAAAAAAAATTCGTTCTGAAATATAGGTACCCTTAGTGCCGGTACTTTTTTACGGAATTTGATTCCGGAATTTGTTACGGTCAGATACCTTCTTTGTTAGTATTCGAATTACGAATTTTACGCCTCATCTATAATATGTGATATTATTTTAAAATTCTTGCTGTGTTTTAAAATTACGAATATTTTTTTTAAAATACTTACAACATTTAATACAGCCGATTAGTTGTAAAAACATTAAGGGTAATAATACTAAATTCTGATGGAATGCTAACGTTCAGATTACTTTTCTACGTATAGTAAAAACTCAATTTATAAAAAAAATATTTAATTTTTTAAGCATAACACGAGGACATTTTAAATCCATGACTTGAATACATTTTTAACATACTTTTTATGTTACGATGCTGCAGTTAAATCACTAATACAAAAACTCGACCTATTTTCAGATTTTTAGCATATTGTTTGCTGTTGTTCAAAATACGCTGAATAGGTTCAAAATAAACAGGTGTCAAAACCTTTGTGAAAAAAAAAATTCTTTCTTCCAGCAATACACACTGTCGTTAATGATATTAAGCAAATTACTATTATTTTCCTAATTATATATTTTTGGAAACAAAAATGAAAATAAATTATGAAATTAAAAACACTCATTTATAGGTCAAAAAAATTCTTTTTAATTTGAAAAAAATGTTTTCTAGATTGTTAGTCTCAAAAAAATATTTAAATAATGTATCAAAATACGACATTTTTCGTACGAATCTTAATAATTTATGTTATATCGCTACTTTAACATCTAACACAACACTCGATTTAAATGTTTTCTGTTTTAAATGAAAGCCTATGTCATGTTTTCTATATTTTTCCAACTGTATTGTTAAGCGTGCCGATTAGGGTCTTACTTTATTTGGTAAACTAAAATACTAAGCTTATAAAATTAAAGTAATAGCATAAAAATAAGTTCATATTGATGTCAAAAAAAATTGAAAGCTAGGTAATTAAATCAATTATGTTTCTTTAAAAATTCTTGTTATTGTATCTCACATCTTAATTTTGCTCATTAGGTTAAATTGGTTATTAAGTAGTTATTTATAACTCTTTTCAAATTTTAGACAAACAAATTTGAACGATTCCGGTAAACTTGTCTGCAACAAAATAAAATACTAAGCCCATCTCTTCACCGAGGCGAAGACAAATAATTTTGATGTAATAATTTTGTGTCACCTTCAACGATCGGACTGAGGAGCCATCGGTCATTCAAAACCCCCTGTCCTAACGCCAAAAAGTTCAAATTTCTAGTAAATGAATAGTTGGTTATGAACATTTTGGAACATGGAAAAAGATCCAAAATTTGGCGCATTATTGATAGATGATATAGTCAAAAATAAAGAAAACTCCGCATTATTAATATTAAATTTTAAATAATCTGGCTTAATCACTAAAAAGACCGTCAGAATTTAATCTACTGAAACATTTTTATGGTTAGTAAAATAAAGTAACTTAAAGAAAAATAGATTTAAAAAAAGATTTTGATATTTTATTAGTCGTGGCACTGAATAATGAGTTATGCACTTTTATAGAATTAAAAAGTTAAGCGATTGTTAAGAAAAGAATGAAAGTATTAAATACCCATCCTTTATAAAATGTGATAAAAATTCAATTATTCATTCTACTTAATTATAACAGGATTAAGAATGCTTAAAAAATAAATTTATGAAATTAAAGAAATTTTAAAAGCTAGGAAATATGTAATGTCTATAGTGACATCACACCCATAGAGCTAATAACTCTGGTAGTTTTGACCATACTTTTTTTTCACAGTGCATTAATTGCGATAACAAAGAGTTTAAAGAATACAAATTCCCGGTATTCCTTTCAAAAAATAAAAACTTTTCTTTCAAAAAATAAAAACTTCTCTCTCTTTTCCTTTCAAAAAATAAAAACTTCTCTCTCCTTTCCTTTCAAAAAATAAAAACTTTCCTTTCAAAAAATAAAAACTTTCCTTTCAAAAAATAAAAATTTTCTTTTCAAAAAATAAAAACTTCTCTCTTCTTTCCTTTCAAAAAATAAAAACGTCTCTCTCCTTTCCTTTCAAAAAATAAAAACTTAAAAAGGTTTTAAATAACCACTACAATTTCGCTTTTGAATAAAAATAAATGTGCATTATTTACCTTTACAATGTAACAGTCAGTAAAAAAAGCTTCCTATCCTTATTTTAATAAAATTATCATAATAATTTCTTTCCAATAAACTTTTTAATTTTCTTTTTGTTTTTAATGATTTTTTAATAATTATTATTAAGACAAACCTAAATGTTGTTCATAATTAAACAAACCTTTCGTATCTTACTCGCACTCTATACGAGGCAAAAATTACGGTGATGAATTTCTTTTAAGTTGCACTCTAGGGCTTGCCTACCGAATTCAATTATTCTCTCCCAGTTTAAGCACGCAATATATTCATTACACTTTCCCTTAAGTATATATTTGAAAAATAACTAAAAAAAGCAACAAAAAAAGAGTAAGTAAAATGTTTTTGGCATGTAAAATTATTCGTCTAGCACACTTGGCTGAGAATTAAATGTTCCATTGTTAGATATTTAAAAAAAAAATACAGTATGCTTAGAATTTAAAAGCCAAAGCAATTTACAGAATAACCAGAATAGGAAATTTTTGAAATCGCCACATATTTTGCTGTAAGTGACGTTGATAGCTTCAAAATGGAATATAAAACGTTTCTTTCCCCTTTATTAATGGTTATCCGGCCGAGGTAAAAAGGATTTAAGCCCCGAAACATAAATCCACACGTTTCCATTTTTAAAAGAATATTTTTCTTCTTCCAAATAAGCTAGAGAAGAGATTTATTTGTATGTAAATATTAAAGGTTGAGTGAATCAAAAACATCGTTTATTTACTCTTTGTGTGAGTGAATGTCCTTCTAGGAAACTTAATTAATTATTTAGATAATTGAAAATAAATTTAGAACTATAAACTAGCTGAGAACTTTATTTAAGTGGTATTTAAAAGGTTTTATTGGAACAATTATTCGTTACAAAAGTTTACGTAAGCATGAATTGTAAAACAATGTTATTATGTTTTTATACATTTAATGCAACAACTATAAAACTATCATTTTTGTTTATAAACGCGTAGATAAAATATATTTTATTAATTACAGTAAATTTGTCAGTAAATTACAAACGACATAGTTATTATTTTAAAAAAGTCCTTTAAATCTTGTTAAAGTATGTATTTAAGGAAACGAATGTAAAACTATTAATTTTCTATTTATAAACACTTTGCATACAATTAGACGTTAGTAAATGATTGCAGATTTTCATACTTCTGGAAAGCTTAATTAATTATTTAGATAAATGAAAATAAATTTAGAATTATAAACTAACCGAGAACTTTATTCAAGTGGTATTTATAAGGTTTTATTGGAACAATTATTCGTTACAAATTCGTATTCGTTTGCGTAAGCATGAATTGTAAAACAATGTTATTATGTTTTTATACATTTAATGCAACAACAATAAAACTAATTATTTTTGTTTATAAACAGGTAGATAAAATATATTTTATTAATTACAATAAATTTGTCAGTAAATTACAAACGACATAGTTATTATTTTAAAAAAATCCTTTAAATCTTGTTAAAGTATGTACTTAAGGAAACGAATGCAAAACTATAAATTTTTTATTTATAAACACTCTGCATACAATTAAACAATAGTAAATGATTTCAGATTTTCATACTTAAATTTAAATCTAACAATTTTGATTGATTAAATTTACAATTTTGAAATATGTCGACTGTNAAACTAATATTTTTGTTTATAAACACGTTATTTGAATAAAATTATCATAATAATTTCTTTCCAATAAAATTTTTTAATTTTTTTTTGCTTTTAATGATTTATTGATAATTATTATTAAGATAAACCTAAATGTTGCTAAAAAGGATTTAAGTCCTGAAACATAAATCCACACGTTTCCATTTTTAAAAGAATATTTTTCTTCTTCCAAATAAGCTAGAAAAGAGATTTATTTGTATGTAAATTTTAAAGGTTGAGTGAATCAAAAACATCGTTTATTTACTCTTTGTGTGAGTGAGTGTCCTTCTGGAAATCTTAATTAATTATTTAGATAATTGAAAATAAATTTAGAATTATAAACTAACCGAGAACTATATTTAAGTGGTATTTAAAAGGTTTTATTGGAACAATTATTCGTTACAAAAGTTTACGTAAGCATGAATTGTAAAACAATGTTATTATGTTTTTATACATTTAATGCAACAACTATAAAACTATAATTTTTGTTTATAAACACGTAGATAAAATATATTTTATTAATTACAATAAATTTGTTAGTAAATTACAAACGACATAGTTATTATTTTTAAAAAATCCTTCAAATCTTGTTAAAGTATTTATTTAAGGAAATGAATGTAAAACTATTAATTTTCTATTTATAAACACTTTGCATACAATTAGACGTTAGTAAATGATTGCAGATTTTCATACTTCTGGAAATCTTAATTAATTATTTCAATAATTGAAAATAAATTTAGAATTATAAACTAACCGAGAACTTTATTTAAGTGGTATTTATAAGGTTTTATTGGAACAATTATTCGTTACAAAAGTTTACGTAAGCATGAATTGTAAAACAATGTTATTATATTTTTATACATTTAATGCA